TGAAAAACACTGCAATAAAAATATATATTTACATTTAATACACAATAATATTCCATACATATAAAATAAGCATGAAAAAATTGTGACGACCTCATGCCACTAGAAAAATAAAAAAATATTAAAAATTAAAGGAAAAACTTAAATTTAAATAGTCTTCTGTCTTCAATCCTTCAATTCTGTCTTCAATCCTGTATGATACCAGAAAAAGTTGTCATTCAAACTAATTCTATTTCTGAACTCTCAGGTCGCGCAACATAAAATCCGATAAACAAAAATTCCCATTATTTCATAAAATATAAGAACAACCATATTGTTTAAACAATTTTCTTATATTTCCCCAGCAAGTATGATTATTCAAAAGAAAAATCCTACGAGTTCGAATAAAAGACGATTTAAATTCGGATCTATCTAATATTTCTGCTAATTTTGGTCTTATGATCGTTCCCATACTTATTCCTTCTGCTCGAGTGTAATATTTTCCATACAATTGGAAGAAATTATTTTTATATGAATATTTTGCTAGTTCCGTGATCCATGGTGAAAGGTTATTCTTCAAGAATGCTTTCTATATTATTCATCATGTTATTGAAGGCTACACGAATACTACATCACAACTCATGATCCTATATATCTGTTTTATTTCGATTTCATTTATCCTGCTTATGGGTTTGGCTACAGTGGAGCATTTTAGATTCACGGAAGGCCAGGAAAATTTGTATTAGAGGACCGTGTAAAGTGTTGACTTCACATATTTTTTTCTTTGGGGAAATGTTTGGGAATCTCACTGTATCCTCGTTCGTTTGTTTATCGTGACCTCTAGCAGTTTAAGTTCTGTACTGCACCAGTGCACCATCCACCAGTGCACCATCTGCCTATGCCACACCAGCAAACTAAGGACCAAATTTAAATTTCGATATTCTTACTTCAGTAATGAATTTATAAAATATTGGGACTTTCCTGTTAGGGAGAAGGGCAATTGCCTGAGAACCCCCATATTTCCACTGTTTATCTGCATTTTCTATAAATTCTGAATGTTTAATAATAATTATTTTTTGTTTTAAAAAACAAATTCTAAATTATATTATGGCGAATTTCTAAAGTCTTCAAGAGGGCGACATTTCTCACCTGATTTATGTGTTTTTAACCTTATATTCAATATTTGTGTTCTAACTTGCTTAAGATCAGAAGAGCAATGCCATTCTCTTGTACTTTTAGAAATTCACCATTAATTAAGCAAACTACGGTCGAGTTACTCTGAGTTAACGATACATACGATAAGTTGATACACTATTACATGTGTTTCTAATGATATTGTTAGTATACGACGTCGTTATCAGTGGCGTACCGTGACATTTGATGATAGGGAAGCTGTGCTGTAAGAAGCCGACTTCCAGGGGCAATCAGTTAATTGCGCGTTAGTGATGGTCTAGGGCAGGCATGGTCAACATACGGCCCGTATAATGAATTTATGTGGCCCGCGATCAATCTTTCAATATTAGGTAGCCTACTAAAGTACGAATAGCTCGATGAAAAATTCTGACTCCTAAAAAAAAAGACAAAAAAAGGTCAACTCGTGCGTTTACAGTTAAACCTCCATTACAAATCTCGTAAGTACAGCGTAAAATGTTGATAAAGCATGATAATGTGAAAAATGTATCTGTAATCCCTATGTACAATTTAGTTTCTACGGGGTGACACCACAATGAGATATCGCACCACCTCAAAATCTTCCTAGGGCAGCCTCTGGTTCGGTCCGTGGAAAAAGTTTTCTTTTCAATTCGGCCCCGGAGAAAAAACTGTTGGCCAACCCTGGTCTAGGGTCCATTCGTATTCGTTTGTTCGATAAGGCAGTAAATACCGTAGACTTCTCTAAATGTATTTTTAATATCACAATTACATTCTGAATCGCTAGCCACTATATATGGGCTAAAATTAAAAATAAAATTATAAAAGCTTACTTGGTGAAATAAAATGTGTGGTGGATATATATACCTGTTACAAAACATTCTTCAATTGTATGAATATACTTTTAAAGGAAATTATAATCAAATATTTTGATGGATGTTTTTTTATTGAAATTTGTCAGAGTGATTCTCCGGAGTGAATCTGAAACTGATTAAAATTTCCCTCATTGAAATTGAAGGATCTATGTAAGAATTCTCGATATTCGATAGGTTTTCATAATTACAATGCATTGT